TGGCGCCGGAAGGTATGGATTGGGCACTAATGAAGCATAATTTTTGGACTGGAACACTCGGTGTTCTCTTGGGCAGGATGTCCCGGATTCTTTGTCTGCGGAGTCAAAGAATGAATCCACGGACAGAGGTGGTATAACAAAGGTGGAGATTTATTAAAGAACAAGTGCAGACTCCTAGATAGGGAGGGGGAAGAGTCCCACTGAGTTCCTTTTCCCTATGACTTATGAAGGATGCAGATCCTGGTGCCTTGATATCCCCTCTGATTGGTCACTATTCCCTTGGACTGGTTACTTCAGTAACTTCAGGGCTCAAAGGTTGAACCTCACATGGGACATGTGAGGTCCTCCTCCCTCCACCCCCTTATTGTTTTCCTATTCCCTTTGGGCTTTCTTCTTCTCCTTCTAAATGAAGGGCTTCCTTCCCTTTATTTTGTAAATATAGACCTTTTGCTGTTCCCAGCTCCCTTATTCTATGGAAATGTACCTGTTGCAGCTTTTCAGCTCCCCCATTCTATGGAAATATACCTTCTGCTGCTCTGCAGCCCTGTGCTTCCTCCATGGTCCCCTTAATTTCCAAAATTTCTAAAATTTCCTAAACCGGTCCCTTTTTACCCCTAAAAATTCCTGTTTCACTATGACAGAGACAACATGAAAGAGTACACCTAGGATTTTGGCCAAAGGTCTGGAAGGGGGCATACAACTCTATTTACCCCTGTAGAGCAACAGCTCCTAATAGTGTACACAGCGCTCTTCTAGGTAGAACCTTTCACAAAGAAACAGCATATCATGATACAAGCCTCCCTTCCTATCAGGGGTGGGCTGAGACTATGTTCCATGTTCCATTGACCCACCACTACCATGGCTCAAACTCCCATGCTGGCTAAACAGCAATCTCATTTGCAGCAGATGAGCACCCTGTCTGCCAGTGGCTCCTAGAAATTCAAGTGCTACTAGGCCCTGTAGAGTAAGTAGATCTGCCAAATGCCTGTGTCCCTATATCCGTGGCAGACCCCGGGGCAGGAAGAAAAGGAATGAAGGAAATTCCCATTGATGCTTGGTATACAGATGGGTCTAGTTGGGGCAACTCACCCACATGGACTACAGTCGCTATTCAACCCAACACTGACACCATCTGGATGGAAACAGGAATGAACCACAGTAGCCAGTAGCCTGAACTCAGAGCATTTTGCTTTGTGACCACTCATGTAGCTTGGCTGTTAACCCGTTGCACTCACAGTGGGGCTGTTCTAAAGAGATTAACCTTATGACTTGGAAAATAAGAAGTTAGGGGATGGATGATCATGAATAAGCCCTTGTGGGGTCGGGAAACATGAGAAGACATTTGGGTTCACCTGCATGAGCCTCAGGTAGTTCTCACTGTTTGCCACATCCCAGATTATAAGATTCTGATACCCCTGGCAATCAGGAACTAGATTCCTTAGCTTGGGTACGAACCCTAGCAACAGACCTTCTTCTAGCAGATATAGCAGATTGGATGCAGAGAAAGAAAGCCAGTATAGTGCCAGGGTGGGATGACATATTTGCAAGGATGCCAGATTGCCAATGAAATACAAAAGCAACTCAGACCAGGGATATGGATCGATAACCTGGAACTAGATAGTCATTCTGTCACATTAAGGGTAATAACTGGTTTGGTACTGACTGGCCACACCATTTAGGTATTTATTGGGTAACCTCAAATGTGACTCGATGGTATATGGCACAAGTCTTTGGCTATGGCTCCCACCAGGATAGTTGGGCCTCTACACCCTGGGTTTTCTTTGGACACAGGAGAACCTGCCCCAAGGTAACAAAAATTGCCAACCTTCCTCTCCTTAAAGGAGGCATAATCCAAACAGAATGTTTGATGAGCTGCTAATGCATTTGTCTTTATTAAATCACATAAAAACACACGTGAATATCCCGAGCAACCTGACATCCAGCCTAAGAGACTTAATAAATCAATGGTTTGAAACATGGTGCTTTTTGTAAAGAAATAAAAAAATGTGTTGCTTATTTTACAAATAGTTAACCTATGCTTTCTCTTGCATGTGCCCATAGTTTTTGCTGTGATATCTGCCTCCAATGTAGTCAGATAGCTGCCAAACTAGCAACCTCCCTGCTAACAAAACCCCTGTTGCCCTGGCCTGTTTGGCTCAGTGGATGGAGCGTTGGCCTGCGGACTGAAGGGTCCTGGGTTCGATTCCGGTCAGGGGCACATGCCCAGGTTGCGGGTTCGATCCTGAGGGGGGGGGCATGTAGGAGGCAGCCAATCAATGATTCTCACTCATCATTGATGTTTCTCTCTCTCTCTCCCTCTCCCTTCCCCTCTGAAATCAATAAAAATATATTAAAAAACAAACAAACACACAAACCCTTGTTGATGGCGCAGGGCACATTACAAAAGAGGCAGGCGTATATGTCCTAACAGCGGGTCATCATCAGACAGTCCTGCCCAGCAGTAACCCAAGACCTGGACCTGGGCAGGGCAGTCAGAGGCGCCTCACCCGCTCCGCGTCCTAGGAATGTACCATTCTGCCCACCGTAGCCGCAGGGGGAGGGGGGGGGTCACGGCCAAGGACACAGCCTCTCGAGACCATCTGCAGCCCCGCGAGACCATCTGGACAGAATACAGGACTGACCCCAGGTACGGCCTCTACACAGAAACGTTGAAGATTCTAGAACGCAGGTGCAGAGAGAAACGTGCCTTTTGCCCCCAAGACAAGCCTCGTGTATATGTTCTCTCGCTTCATAGAACCACCGTCTCCCAACCCGGAAGTGGCCGCGCGCCTTCCTCCATCGCCCCTTGCCTTCCCTCGGTGCATGGAGGCCACTTTCACATTTTACCTGGGGAGCTCCCCAATTTGGGGGCCAAAAATGTTATTCCAAAAGATAGGTGTATTTTGTTTGCATGCTCCGTTATAGGGCCAAATAACTGGAACCTAAGTCATTTAAGCGGCTTGGCCAAGGTTACATAGATACCAGCGTGGACTTGAGGCCTGAATTCTGATTTGCTCACTTCCGGTCCCCTTTCTTCTCGGCGTCAGAGACGCACGGAGCGCAGACCTTCAGGCTCTAACCTGTGCACAGGCGCATCCTGGACCCACATCCACAGTGAGTCCCAGGGCCAATCTGAAATCCGGTTTGGGAAAGAGAGGCCAAGAGAAAGGCGATTAGCTTGCAGGGACAGTGTCACCCCTAACTTGGGCCGCATCTACCAAATATATTTTTAAAGATCGTCTTTTTGTGTGCCCAAGATTCCAAACCACTGAGTTTACTGTACAGATTCTAGCCCAGTTTATTTGCGTGACAAAAGATTGTGATTCAGTGTTCTCCTATATTTGGAAGGGAACCGTTTCCGTTTGTGAATGTCTTAGAAATCTCACCAAACCAGCTACGCCTGGACATGCGGGAGCTTAATTCTTGAACGCCGTGGTCCAATAAAGACACATACCCTCTCCTGATGGTTGCGATGCCCACCCTCCACCCCAACAACAACAACAACAACAACAACAAAAGGTATGTCTTGGGTTGGTTGACGCAGATGGTCACAGAGCAGCATGCCAGAAAGGATGCCCTTTGGAGCATTAATTTTCTCCTTAAGTCAGGCCACACAAGGACTCGTTCAGCTAGCTAGATCAAAAGCTCTTTTTTAAAAAAATATATATTTTATTGATTTTTTACAGAGAGGAAGGGAGAGGACTAGAGAGTTAGAAACATCGATCAGCTGCCCGCAAAGGTACATGC